ATTTCAAATTCGTGTTCAGCGTTGAATTCTGTATTGAACGCATATAAGATATTAATATATTTCGTTAAAAATATTTTTCGAACAAGAGTTCTAAGTCGAATAACTCGAAAGATATTCGATATTCGAAAGATTTTAAACTTCATATTCGTTTTCAGCGTTAAATTCTACATAAGTTTATGGTGATTTTCAGGAACCCCGATCCAACTCTGTACAGTACTGCATAGATATTCCTGACCACAACAAAGCCAGTTGTGTTCACACCTGTATATTATTACTACTGCAGCGCATGTGTCAGGACTGCACTAAACATGATTGGATCCACGCTTTCACGCATGCGCTTCAGTACTAACAATAGTGTTGAGTTGTTTTTGAATACTCTGCACATTATCTGCACATTACTCTCATTACTGTTATATTTGTGACGGACTTTATGTGAGTTGTGATCGAGTGTTGGATCACATGATCACTGATTGAGTGCTAAACACATCGAAGACAGTCTCGAAGAGAGCGGCGAAGACACGAGACATGGGTTTCGAAATCAACTGTTTTGTGAGTCCATCGCTCGTTAACGAAGACCTCATTTGCAATATCTGTGGAGGAGTTCTGGAGGACGGCCTCTGGTCTCCAGAATGCGAGCACTCCTTCTGCAAAGGTATGAATTCATTGGATCCACTCTTTAGACTCGATGTAATGGTAACCCAATTATCTTCTAACCCATAGTTTGTATCCATAAATGGCTGCAAAGAAGTACTGTCTGTCCGAATGACAGACAATACCTGAATCTAACACTTCTTAAGCCGATCCCAAGATTTATGCGAAATATTTTGGATAAACTGGAAATGAAGTGCAAATTCATTGGCAACGGATGTCTTCAAGTGATTCCTTTGGAGTCTCTGCGACAACACATTCCTGTCTGCGATTTCAATCCCGACAAACAGATTGATTGTGTGTCCGGATGTGGTCTCACGCTTAAGAAGCGAGAGCTCGAGAGCCATAACTGTGTGAAGGCTTTGCGCCAAAGAGTCGACACTTTGGTCGAAGAAAACATGAAATACGAGCGAAGCGTCACTTCTGTTAGATTTGAATTGAATTCTTTGCGCAACGAAAACAAGAAAACCAATGAATTGGTTAATAGTCTTCAAAACGATGTCAAAAGACTGTTAGCCGACCGACAGATGTCTGTATCCACGGATAGCAACGCCTCAGCCGTTCCGCAGAGCTCTTTGGGCGTGAAGTCGGAGAAAAACAGTCGAATGGTTCCCAACCCTTACGTTCTCATAACACCACTTCAGTCATCG